TGATTAAAGCCAAATCAAAGATAGTGGATGGATGACCTGCACCCGTTTTCCGAATTGACCAAGTATTACTGCCTATTTTCAGGTAACATTGACTCGTGGATTACCGATTACAGCAATCGTGCTTGGCTCTCTGTATTATGCTCGAACTCGTCTTCCACCTCAATATCATTTTGGTCCAAAAGGATGGCCTTTCTATGCGATAATGGGCATTGGCACTCTGACCACGGTCAACGTTTTTGGTATGGGACAATGCCGCGATCGTATACAGCCTTTTGTTGCCAGGATGTGGCAGAAGGTACGATTCAATAGAATAGTAAGAGTCATGGACAAATATAAATATGTGGCGTAGTGAAGATGCATTCCTCGCCCATCATGTTGATATTTTTATCGTGGCTTTTTGTCATTACGACATCAAACGTATCATTTAAAATATCATTTATACTCTTTTGATTTAGTATAATGTTGGCCATTCTTCAACAAGTTACGATGATATTCGTCGTCGGCATAGAATGGAGTCTGGATTTGCTGCTCCCGATGTTTCTGCTGCAGGTGTTCAGCCACGGAAATTTGAAGACCCTTATGCTGCAACAGAGCGCTCTTATGTAGGTTTCTTTTCTTAGTAGAGCTCTAGACAGATGAGTTTTATATCACATTTTTACTGGAACTCTTTTTTAGAAGGATCCCTATGCTGCAACGGACCTCTCCTATGTAGGTTCATATGTTTTTTCCCTTTTTAATCGTTTTCCTTGTTTGATTTTTGGAAGTACACTTTTCTCCAGAAAGATCCTTATGCTATGACTGGAGATAAAGTGCCATCTTTTGGCGAAATGACCACTGATTACTCGAAAATGGAACCCACCTTCGACATGACCACTGCCGATAATACGACTGGGCAGCAATCGAAGCCGATGCCTGGGCCAGGCTATATGTTCGGTGATACTCCTACGTACATGTCAGGTACACCTACTACACCTCGAACATCAGGGAATTCATCTGAATTCTCACGATAACTCGTACATCTCTCGTGTAACTAGGCCTAGGAGCGTTCAAGCTCGATCTTATGTTGTTGTGCGTAGCGTTTCTGAATGGTAGTCGGAGCTCGAGAGCAGCACTACACCTTCTCATGACTGGCGTTGGCCCGAAGACAATTAAAAGTATAGAGAGAAGCACGAATGCTCAAGCTTCACAAATAATTTTTAAAATAGTCAGTGCACTCTAATCAGCCAAAACTGCTACTTTTTATAGAGCATGACATAGTGTAAGTGTAATAGCGTGACCCTTCAATTGACATTCAGTAAAAACCTTAGTAGGAAGGTTTAAAAGTGACCAGTAATCCTCTTACAACTGTAGAAAGATTATGATGGAGCATGGGCAGGCGTTGCAAACGACCAGTAATCCTCTTACAACTGTAGAAAGATTATGATGGAGCATGGGCAGGCGTTGCAAACAGCCACAAGGGGCTTTTTGTCGTTCCATTCTGCTAACCATGAAAAAATTGTGAGAACAAAAAACAACATCTGGCTGTGATTCTTTATTCAGACTAGTTGTACACAAAGCAGATCAATAGGAATTCAATCCTCAAACAAGGAAGGAGCTCAGAAAAGCCAAGAAACGCAGGAGAAGGCACACTTCATATATCCTTCCATCTCTATTTCTTCACTGCTCTGAACAGTAGGGAGGAAAGGGGCTGGAAGTATTAGGTTGAGTCATAAGTCCTCGGATAAAATGATAGCGATGACTTCTAAAGATCATAACTCGGGAAAGAGGAGACGAAACTGGACGCGCTTGGCATTGTTGGATAGAGTATGAAGAGCTCTTTTAAATACATGCTAACAAACACACCTTACTGTTTCCTTCCCTGCAACCATGCCCCATGATTTCAAGCCGTCGCAACTCCACCTCCGCAACACCATCCCATTTCTTTTTTTATCTGGCCAAGAACCCGCGGAGATTGATAGACGTACTAAGGAAGTTTACAGGAAGGGTGCTCCTGTTAGATGCAAAATTCACAAGTGGCACACGAAGTTCACGTCGGACGACCATTACATCGAAAATGAAGACCGTCCGGGACGCTCAATGGAGTTGGATTTGGAGGTAGTCCACAATTTTTCCCGGATTGAAATCAATCGGCAAGGTGCGAACTCGGTCGATGGGAGCCCCATGCTTTGAAGCAGTATTACATGGATTTTCGCGCCGACATGGCACTTTCTCTCCTCACGCTCAAGCGCAGGAGATGGTAAAGTGTACTCATTAGTATATATTCGAAAGAGCCTTTAATATTCTATCTAACGATGCCTCGCTCGTCCGTTTTCGCCACGTCTTTCCCGTGTTATGATCTCTAAAAGTCACCACTATCCCTTTGTCCGAGGACTTACGACTCAACCTAATAGAACTGACTCATAACCTAGAACATATATTCCTAGCATGCAGCATTTGTTGACCAGTCATTGGAGCCAAAAAGCTTTTTTTGTGATTCGAAAGTATCGATTTTTTTNTTTTTTTCGAAAAGATCCAGATAAGCCTGGTTTCATAACCTATAGAAAGCCTCTCAATCAAATATTTAGAAACGTGTGAAAGTATGTGAGCCCAAGGTGGGTGCTTGTACGTAAAACAGGATTGGTAACAGTGCGGATCGCCTGAGCTTCGGACGCCTTACACCAGGAATGATTTTCTATTTCTTTTATCACTAACATCAGAACAATGGGTTTCAGTTCCATGCAAAACTCGAATGATACCACTGACTTACAGAAGTATAAAAGCGAAAATTCGGGATGAGTGAGTATGATCTTCGTCGACTTACTTGCTTTCTCATGGCTTCCGTCTACTTCGGAGCTGCTGGTGGCTCTGGTGCACCAGGAGCCCAATCACAGTATTTCGGTGTAGGTGGTGGTGGTGCTAAACCACCTGCCGGCGGTGGTGGAGGTGGAGCGCCTCCCCCAGCCGGACAATCACAGTATTTTGGTGTTGGAGGCGGTGGAGGAGGAGCAGCAGGACAGTCAGCATACTTTGCCGTTAACCCAACCGCAGCCGGTACACCCCCTGTTGGTGGTGCTGCGCCTAGCGCGCCACCTCCTGCAGGTGAGTCCCTATTGAAATCTCATTGTCTCGATGGAGTAATATTGTTTATGAACTTCAGCAGGAGGTGCTTCAACCATGACGGCAGTAGGCGCTCCCGCAGGTATGTCCCCTAACTGCTGCCCCGTAAATTAACAGGGGACCAAAGAAAGTTCATCAGGTGGTCGGTCGACAATGACTGCAGTTGGTGCTCCTGCTCCTGCTGGAGCATCCACGATGACCGCTGTAGGCGCTCCTGCAGGTGAGTCGAATGGTTACTATTCTGTAGGCGGCATTGAGTAAGAAGAAAGTAGGAAAGTTTTCCAGGTGGTCGTTCGACAATGACTGCTGTTGGGGCACCTGTCGGTGCAGGTCCAGGATCTACGATGACTGCGATTGGAGCGCCAGCTGGCGGCGGCGCTCCATCAACGATGACAGCTGTGGGCGCTCCGGCAGGTCATCTACCATTTTATCGATACTACTGGGATCTGAATATACGTTACCTACAACAAACTGCACTCTATCACAAGGAAATGTTTGATAGTTTGTAGGCGGAAGTAGAAGTACGATGCTGAAACTAGAAGTTTAGAATACGCTTGAGCAAGCTATCAGCCCTACTTTAAAATATCTCTAGCTTTTATGGTAAAGGAACGAGTAGCAATAGATAAAAGTTCGGAGGCGTTGTTACGGTCACCACCGCGACCGCGCCTATCCGTGATCATTACCCGCGTCATATGTAAGAAAGCCGCGCCCGCTACCACGCGCGTAGTACGATGGCACTTTTTGACCCACACCGGATAACAGCCCTTGTGCGGATTGCATTCAGTGCTTTCTTTATGGACCTCAGTAGAGTAGCGTGAGTACGACAAATTGCTTCAGCATATCCCATAACGCTACTATGGTGGTCGTCGAGGCAAATAAATGCACTCTTACGCAACGTGCGCTAACGCGACTCACGTATTGCACATGGGAGTAGCACATCAGTATCCCGTGCATGCCTCTGTGATACAAGGGTGTGTGTACATTCGTGCGATTCGGGCTCTGCGCGGCAAATTGTGCGGCGAAATTCGTGTTGGTTAAAACGACTCTGGAGGCTATTATTGGGGCCCAAATCTGAAGTAAAGCAGATTAATAGGATCAGCTGACCATACTAATCTACTTCAAGTTTTGCCCCAATAATAGGCGCCAGAGTCGTTTACACCACCACGAATTTTGCCGCACAATTTGCCGCACGGAGCCCGAATCGCACGAATGTACCGTCCCCCGTGATACAAAGCTAAACGATGGGCCCTGGTAGTTCCCACTAACATGAGATACCGGGGACCGATGTGAAGAACAAGCCCCGTTATGGTGCTATGGTTAGGTTAACCAGTTTCACCATTATGACCTGTCGTATCGACGATCATTTTTTCGAGCAGCCGCCAGTAAGGTCCCCACTTGTCCCTGTCACGAACCAGAGCGGTCCAGTAAATCGTACTAGTTTCAGGGGCACGAGGCCCATCATTCCTTTCGTTCGGAACATTCGTGAAGGATTCTACCCATCGAGCTGGCGGCTTGGTGTTCGTTTGACGTCCCGAGAGAACCGATCCGTGACCGCCCTGGTCCAACGGTCATCACTATATCGCATGACGTGTCCGGCTCATCTAATATTCGATTTCTTGGCGTAGTCAACGGCATCTCTGATCTGGAACATGGAACTTCGGATTCCCTTCCGCAATTGCGTGTGTAGGGAAATTCCGAGTATCGTCCTCTCCGAAGCGCATTGAGTAACGCTGACAGCATGTTCATTCTGCTTTCGTAGATTCCAAGTCTCTGAGACGTACTTCAAAGCAGGAAGGACAGCAGTGTCGAAAAGGTGAGCGCGGAGCTTGATGTTCTTTGTCCCTCGATGTTCTTGAATGGTTCCCACGTGGCGCGTCACCTTTTGCTCAGCTCCGGAGCGAGATCATTCACCATGTTGACCTCCCGACCTGGATACACACAGAGCATTCAATGGTATTCGTTCACTCAGCGTGGAGAGGGCATCAGGTAGCAATCAGTTCCTCATGGACGTCGCCTTCGTTAGTTCAGTCTCGAGCCGATCTTTCCACAAGCGTTGTCGAACTCGGCCATTTGTTTGGCCTGCTTGATGTTAGGTGTTAAAAGCATAATGTCGTCTGCAAAACGGAGGTGATGTGAATAGTGGCCGCCGACCTTCACTCCCACACATGCCTTCTCGTTCCATATGATGCATGATGTTCTCGAGAGCGGCACTGAAAAGTTTGGTCGAGATGGTATCGCTCTGTCGAGCCTCCCTTCACGTTGACGATGACTCCATTACAGCATGGCGAGATAAATGGCCGTGAATTTGTTGTAGAGTGCACGGAGCGTCCTTATATATTGAGTTACCGCTTCTGTCTTGACGGTATCAAAGGCTTTCTACAAGTCGATAAACGTGGTACATAACGGCATTTTGTATTCTCGCGATACTTCATTGAGTCTTGTAAGAGTGTGGATATAAACAATTGTACTGAACCCTCTCCGGAACCCTGCTTGTAGATTACATACAAAAGGCAAATTTGGCGGTAGCTGCCAGTATCGTCGGGATCTCTATTCTTATACAGCAACATAGTCTTGCTAGTTTTCCACAGCATGGGTAATCCGACATTTACCTCCTGGAGAACATGGAGGTTCTGATGATGACGGATGGAAGACGTTCTGGTTTGTTCCTGTTGGGACCGGGCGCTGTACCGGATGGAGAACCGGAGGAGCGATATACTCCTCTTGCTAAGATGGTGGGTAGGCAGGTAGACGTGGCTGCCGAAGAGGTCCGATTAGGAGTCGTAGATGACCTCCTCCATTCCCTTCGAGATGCATTAACTGTTCCGTCACCAAGGCAAATGGGCGTCATCTTGTTCTTGTGATTGGCGAAGCTCCTTCGAGCTTTGCGAACGCGCTTTCCAGCTTCGGCGGTTTCGTCCACAACTTCTCTCTTTCGGGTCCTCCTTCATCGCTTTTCTGCATAGCTTCGCAAGTTCGGACGTTTGTTGGTGATTGCCTGTAGCTCGCGCGATTCCACGCTGGCGTATCAGCTCGAGAGTCTTCGAAGAGAGTCGTCTCTTAGCTGCTTGTAGACTCCCTGCTTTCCCAGCCTTATCGCGAAGATGTTTGACGAGCCGAGTTTATCCTTCACCGGTGTTGTTGATATCGGGATCTTTCCATTAGCTTGCAAGGGAAGCGAAGTAACCAGTCAACGGATGTCTTGAGTTTTCTTGCCTGAACTTCATGGCTCTCTCCCCGCACTGAGAAGCGGAATCTAGCGCGAAGGAGACGATGGTCCGATCCCGTGTGGAACTTCGGAACAACAGCGACATCAGTCAGGCAGAACCTCCGATTAAGATGATGTGGTCTATTTCATCACGGAACTGTCCGCCAAGTGACTCTCATGCCCATCGCAAATAAGAGGGCATTTGGAACTGCGAGTTACCATGGATTGTGTGGGTCGACATGACAAACTCAGACAGCCCTCCATCCTGCTCGTTCCGTCAGTCGCGATAAGGAGCTCTTTGGCCGCTATTATGGGGCCGACGATTATGGTCGTAGCTCGATGTTGGCGCGTAGGCATTGTTTGAGTTGGGCTTGGACGGGATCTTCTCTATCGCAAAAGTCCGATTCGGGTTCTCAAGCTTTTGTACGAATCTATGTTCATGGCAAAGTGCGTGTTACGCCTACATCTACGCCACCGATGCCTCTACTGTCGCATGTCCAAGGAACAGTTCTGGCCCAGTTTCAAATACAGCGTGTAGTAGGCGATGCCTTCTTAACTCGGCCAGTCCGATGACGTCGCACCTGATCTTCCTAGCTTGCATCTTCAGGCCCTCTGCACACTCTTCCGATGCAAGCGTCTATGCGTTGGAAGTACAGATCACCATTTTAGAACTTATTCATTTGACAGCCTGTTTTGGCCCTGTGATTTGAACGCCTTCCCGAGCGGGCCTACCCAACGCGGCCGTAATAGGGGCTCCCGCAGGTACAGAGGAATGAGGCCCATTTGTATTACTGTTTTTGGCAAATGGGTACCCAACGTGTAGCTTGCCAAGCTCGACGCGGAGGCTGGGTTGACTCCGGGCGCTTGCCAGGCTATTCCAAAGTGGACGAGGGGCATTGTTTTTGGAGGCGGCCCCGAATCGCTTTTAGATGCTTCCCTCATTTGAATGCAAGCTCTTGGCTGAGTCGATGAGCAGGATAAAAAGTGCACCCGCAGACTGTCCGCACACGTATGCGTGGATACACATGCGAGAAACAGAAGGTATATAAACCAGCACAGCAGAATCAGCGAGCCCATCCCTGAATCCACAAGCATCTCTGTCCGAGTACTGGCGACCTTTGGTCGGTGATACTCGGACAGAGATGCTCCGATACCTCCCCTAGCCACCACCTAAAGACGCCCAACATAGCCTCGTCGCCAGCTGAGATCCCTCAGTAGAGCGAACCCTCAGAGGAGGAGATCCGTAGTACCCGACTTTGACTTTAGTAATAAGCCATCGTACTTTCTAGGTGGCCGCTCTACAATGACGGCTGTCGGTGCTCCTGTCGGCGGTGGCGCTGCGTCCACAATGACCGCTGTCGGTGCTCCAATGGGTGGCGGCGCTGCATCTACAATGACTGCTGTTGGTGCTCCAGCCGGCGGCGGTGCTCCATCAACGATGACGGCAGTAGGTGCTCCTGCAGGTAAACGACTAACCAACCTTACATGAGTCGCTAATTCTAGTACGACCATAAATAGTCAATAACGAAAAAGGAGAACAGAAAAAAATGTCGATCATAAAATGTTGAAAGCACTGGTCAATCACGAAGCCCGATTTGTGAAAAGTACAGTTCAGGTGGACGCTCAACAATGACCGCTGTCGGTGCTCCTGTCGGTGGCGGCGCTGCATCGACAATGACCGCTGTAGGTGCTCCTATGGGTGGCGGCGCTGCATCTACAATGACTGCCGTTGGTGCACCAGCCGGCGGCGCTCCATCAACAATGACTGCAGTGGGCGCTCCAGCAGGTAAGGCACGAAAATGTACTCACGCACTACAAGTATGGTTGACGAAAAAAACTTGTGGCGTTTGTACGGCAATTTTAGCGATAGCAAATGTGTTTACAGAAAGAATTCATGAGCCTGAAATAAGGTAAAGGACGTGGAAACGAACGGTTAGGGACAGGGTTGGCTCGCTGTTGCATTACCGACAAGTTGACTGATACACTCACTTGAGCTGTACGATCCGCCCTCCTTATTGTTAGATGGCTGTGACGTCCAGAAAAGTGATCGGAATACAGAGCTAAGGCAGTATGAGAAAGGGGCCGTGGCGGGAGTCAGAAGGGAGGAAAAGGTATGCTAACGTGACTAAGAAGACCATACTTCTATTGAATGAAACTCAACTAAGCGCCTGAAATTCATGAGGATTAGGTGCTACCCATAGCTGCGTTCAAACTAGTCATTCAAAGAACTCAAAACATGCTTTCTTATGATGATTTTGCCGAGCTTTCTAGGTGGACGCTCAACAATGACGGCTGTCGGTGCTCCTGTCGGTGGCGGCGCTGCATCTACAATGACTGCCGTTGGTGCCCCAGCCGGTGGCGCTCCATCAACAATGACGGCAGTAGGCGCTCCAGCAGGTAACGCAAAATATGCACTCACGTAATACAGGTACGATTGCGGAACTAAACTTGTAGAATATGCGTGACGACTTAGTTGCCACACATTCCCTATGAAGCTCGTTTACAGAAAGAGCCCATGAACTCAGAATAAGGTGGAAAGTGTGAAAACGGGACGGACACTAACAAGTTCGGCTCCTTTAACTTAACCTGAGTTCATGAGCTGTTCCATCTCGACAAGGTTCCAAATACGCTCCCCTTAAATGGCTGTGACACCCAGAAAAATATAATCAGAGTCCGGAGCTCGGTAGAATTGGGAAGGGGCCGCGGCAGGAATCAGACGAAAGGAATAGCGTGCCGACGTGATGATAGGGAAGGACCATACATCCACTCAGTGGAACTCGGCTATGGAGGGTGAAATTCACATGGATTATATGCTAGCTACGGTTATGTGTGGCCTGGTCACTCATGGAACTCTGAACCTTTTGTTCGATGACTTTCTTGAACCCAAGCTTTCTAGGTGGACGCTCAACAATGACGGCTGTCGGTGCTCCTATGGGTGGCGCTGCATCTACAATGACTGCCGTTGGTGCTCCCGCTGGTGCTCCAGCTGGTGCTTCAACAATGACCGCAGTAGGCGCTCCTGCAGGTAGTGTGACACCGCATTTTAATTAGTGATAGACATTTTATAATATATACCACACTATTTCCTACTATAAATAGGTGCCCGGAAAGTTTTGAGAAAGTTCTTCTCCTCCACGTTCGAAGCATATTGTGAGCGAGGGCGCCAAAGTACCTTAAACTTGGCGCGAAAAGGGTACCGTTGATGTTCAATACTATTATTATCTGGCTTTACTTCCCCGATGAGCGACGGACACGACCAGTCACGTGTTCTGCTTCACTGCCACCATTTTAGCCATTCCGCTACTCAAGCCCGAAATGATTATGGTCATATGCAGCACTGCACTCTCCCTCGCCACCTGCTATAGATGATAGGAGCGCTTCTCTAACTTCTTCTCTCCGTCCCAGACATTCTGCGCAGAAGTCTCTTTTCTTCAGCACCCCTTGCAGTTATACCATAATCACTTACTCAGTGAGAGCGTCAAGTGCTAATCGATGTGCACCAAACGCTCCTCGACCATAAACGAATGACCCGGACAAACTGCATTATCGCTCAGCGTGAAAAATAGTTTTCATAAGCAAACCCGCAAAGAAGATTTTAGTGTCTACCAATGAACGTGAAGCCAGATCACAGCGAGTTGCCATGTCAACGAGGATATGATTTTGTCTTCTTCCGTTCCCCCGAGTGTTCATACCACGAGATCTTGCCCAAGTGTTTTACTATGAATACAAGAGCATTCCGCGCATACTGAGAGAGATGGTCAAGCCCACACTCCCTGCAAAGAAAATTTTGATTGTAATGAACAACGCTCGACCACACCACGACCACAGGACGGCGACGAGGAGTTGGAATAAATTGGTATCACTTGACTACCCCGTCCTCCATCACTTGTGATCCCAATGCCTCCAAAGGTCTTCAAGCCTACACAAAAGGAAAGATTCGATAATCCTTAGAAAGTCAAATATGTAGTTGAAGAATGAATCGCGTCGCTCCCTTCTTCCTTCTGATAGGATGGTCCCAGTGCTCTGCCAATCTATGGAAGGACATTGTGGCTAAGGAGAGACACAATCTTGATTACTGATCTTATGTTATTGTTGTAATTAGTTTGTGATAAATAAAACGAGCGATTTTTTTTCTAAACTTTCCGGGCACCCTCATAACTTGTCGCGGAACTTGTCTATCACACGAATGGATGAATGAGCAGCATTGTTCCACATTTCGAACTCCCAGTTTTTGGCGAATCACGCGCAATATGAGCACGAGCAATGCCACTGAGGGAAATAGTCCCCGTCCTGTTCTACGTTAAACGTAGCGGCTTTTTCATAAGTGCCAGTGCACCGAGTGAAGGTAATTGGAATGGTGGTCATACGATCACGAAGTAACCTACTTCATGTTTCATCTATCCAACACGATGATGGTGAACAACAATTGTCTCGTGATGGAAGCGGATGTCAAAGCACGGGCACCAAGCCTGTGATCATGTTCTATGAAATGTAGGAGGCGTTTGTTATTCGGTTTGGTCTGCAGGCCACAATGGGTTTGCCATTTGAGTCAAAGTCACCGTTTCTAAAGTCGAGTAACAAAGCTTCTTCGACGGAATTGAAGGGCCCTCGACTTCTCCTCTTTTCACTCGTTGATGCTTCTCATTTCATTGCTCATTGCGTTGGCGCATCTTTTGATATCATCCACTAAGTGAGCTTTGATTTTAGCGGCCTTGGCTTAGCTATAGCAGGAAGCTATAGTAAATTTCATGCATACGATAGGCGTATTAAATTGTACGGGTTATAATGTCATAGCTGACACATTGACACATAGCGTCTTCGTTCTGTGCTTCCTAGCAACGCCTTTTGCAAAGAGTAAACTGGAAAATTTGGAAGTTCACATAATACAATCACATAAATATGAGTCGGTGAAGTCCGTCTTTGCTTTGACCCTCGAACGAAAATCCGTCTGTAAATTAGTTACTCGTGAATTTAGGAGGCCGCTCAACGATGACGGCTGTCGGTGCTCCTGTCGGTGGTGCTGCATCCACAATGACTGCCGTTGGAGCCCCGGCTGGTGCTCCAGCTGGTGCTTCAACAATGACTGCTGTCGGTGCTCCAGCAGGTAAGAAAAACTCATCACTGATATTGAAGTCGTTACTGAAAGCAACGCCTCATATACATGAATTTTTGAAATTCCATTTCGGGAAGTTCAGAAAGAGGGAAAGAGGTGCATGGAAAAAAGGCTTTTTCAATACCCACACCTGAAGCCATCGTCTATGAGTGATTCTACGGAACTTTGCAGAATCAGTACTCACTTGAGACAAAGCATCGAAAGAAAATTGAAGAATTGGCTCATGGAAAATCGCCTGCAAATAACACCTATGACTATGGCAACTTCTGAAATCATTAACTTAAGAGTGTTACTGATGATGCCACCAGTAGGAAGAATCCACGCAGTCTTTCATTCCACTCATTTCTTTCCACTTCCCAAGTCCCGATGCAGGGCTGCCATTTCGAGGGCAGTCTTGGCAAGTGAGGTGATGTTCAAGGATTGAACATGTAAGTAGGAAAACCTGGGGTGCAAAAGCTTCACTAGGCCCCTAGCTTCTGGTTCGTAGTTTACCCACCACAATTCTGCCACCTTCTTGGGTCATGCCTCGTCCCATTTCCCCTTTGCGTACTCGAAGAACCTGTTGTCAATAAGCAGATTTCAGGGGGACGTTCAACAATGACCGCCGTCGGTGCTCCTGCCGGAGGTCCTGGATCTACAATGACTGCAGTCGGTGCTCCCGCTGGTGCTCCAGCTGGTGCTTCAACAATGACCGCAGTAGGCGCTCCAGCTCCAGGAGGTTCATTTCACAATCACCGCTTGTATGGAGACACAAAAGAGAATGAAATTTTACGTTGCAGGACGCTCAACGATGACAGCAGTAGGAGCGCCTGCAGGTGCTCCTGCTGCTCCTCCTCCCCCTGGCGCGCCACCTCCACCACCTGCTGGCGGTGGAGGAGTACCCGGACAGTCTGCATACTTCGGAGTTGCTGGAAGCGGAGGAGGCGCCCAGTCAGCCTATTTCGGCGTTGGTGGCAGCGGCGGGGGTGGCGGAGTTCCTGCTCCGAAAGCTCCAGCTTCCACTGCACCGGGCCAATCAGCTTACTTTGGAGTCGGCGCTGGTGGTGCAGGTGCTCCTGGTGCTCAGTCGGCTTACTTCGCGCCCAAATAACTTGCTCAACTCGAATAAACCACTATAAACTTCTGTTATACCGTTGTGGTTTGTCAACAAGAACAGTGAAACACCGGTATAAAAAATTTCTGAATTTTCCATTGATGACAACGCATTGAAACACGTCTTTTTTTTCACACATCTTAAAGACTCATAATGATTTAAGAGAATCACTATCACAGTATTCTCACAATGACGGGACACACTCTTGCGATTCAAACAGAAGGGCCCTCAAACCCATTTGAGCTACAAAAGATAACGAGGTTGCCACAAGTCCACTCTCAGCACTGGCTCATTTGGCTCTTTTTCTGGCCAATGTCACTCAATGTACGCTTCAAAGAGAGTTTTCAAGTACCCAAAAGTGTCTCGAAGATAATTTCTTACTATTTTTGGTAAAGCGCTCTAACACATTAATTAGGCTGCAACAAAAATAAGAGACACATACAAAGAGGATCCAGCAGAAAGGCCAGCCTCAGCTATTAGAAAAACGGCCTAGGTTTGGGGTAATAAGGGTTCAAGAGCGGCTTAGCCGACGTACACACCCAAAGTGGACGAGTTCTCATGACGTTGTAAATTCTGTATAGGTCGCGCCATACGCACTCGGCGCACCTTTGCATTCAGACAGTTTACTGTAGCCAGCTGTACGTTATGGCAGACATATTTGGACAGCTCCTCCATATACCACTTTATGCAGCTTTTATCATCACATTTTCGTGCAACCTCTATGTCTGAAGCTTTACATTCCCCTGAATTTTCGCGCTTACTTCGCCACTTTTGCATTATTCTAAAATATTACTCCCAATTAGGCTAGAAACCTTGAAATATCATGACCGTGCCTTCAATTTATGGTTTAAATGCTTCTGCTCAGATAAGAATTGATACTTTAAAGTTTACACACAAAGTTCACAGTTTGAAGTCCACAGTTTCGAAATTGCGAGATGGTTGAGCAAAAAAATACTCGTGCGAACGGAATCGGATTTTTTTTTTTTGACTTTCTTAAATCATACCTTGCAAAAATAGATAAAACTGCCACACTTTTGCACAATGAAAAAAAGACCTTCAAAACGCCAAATACGGTTGGGATTGCCGATTACCGAAAATTTTTGGCCATGGTGAGATTTTGGAAAACAGAACATCTTCAGTAAAAATTTTTATAAAGCACCGAGAAAATTCCTCATTGTCTTGATTGTTGCAAGAGCAACCTGAGCTCCTCCTCCAACTGGCTCCTTGCCTGTAGCAGTCGTCGGAGCTACACCAAGGGCACCAACATTTTCTATTGGAGGAGAACAACGACAATAGGTAGCATCGGGACCTGGAGCACCATTTTTTCCTGGACGACCTGGCGCTCCAGGAAGTCCATTGGCACCTGGGAGCCCAGGAGGACCAGCAACTCCGGCGGGTCCAGCAACTCCAGGTCCTAGATAATTTCATACGGTAAAGGAACTAATATTCGATCTTCAACACCAGAGATAATGAGATAATCAAAATTCGTACCTGGATCAGCTGCAGGACGGCCTGGCTGGCCAGGAGGCCCTGACGGTCCTGGTGGTCCACTAGGTCCATATGGCCCTGGCAGGTTCAAAAACGCAGGATCACCTGGTTCACCATCTGCTCCGCGCGCTCCTGGTCGGCCATCCTTTCCGACGTCTCCAGGAGGCCCTCGCGGGCCAGCAACACCTGGCGCTCCTGGAAGCCCATCCCTACCAGGAACTCCTACGGGTCCCGGAAGACCTGGAAGACCATCTGGTCCGGGAGCTCCGCGAGGTCCTTGTGGGCATCGAATGCATTTTTTTACAACAGGGAACAAATCGGCTATAAGTGCAGCTCCCGGGGTACCAGGTTGTCCATCCGGGCCAGGTTGACCATCAGCTGAAATGCAACACTAGGTGAGCTCTAATCCAACTTCAACGAACAAAGTTCACCAACGTCCTGGTTCTCCTGGCTTTCCTGGTGTTCCAGGAGGCCCACGTTCGCAATAAGGTGGTGGTGGACCGCATTGTAGGCATTGTTCCTCTGTAAGCAAATGCTTCCTATTCGCTTAAAATCGCCTAATTTGCAACAAATTATTACCTGACGAGTCTACCTGACGCTTTCCTTTGCGCAAGAAACCATCAAATGTAGGTGGATAATGTGAACGCGACGTTTGCACCATTTCATTCCATGCATCTTCGGCTTTCTCCTTCAATGCTATTTCTTGAAGGAATCATGAAATAGCGAAATTGAAGGCTTAACTACAGCATGGCTCACAAGCGCTAATGTATGGCGCGCTTGATCACTTCATTATGGGCATTTCTATAGGACATATACGGAACAGATAGTTTTCAAGTGATGTATAGAGACCTGTGACATGGGCACGCACATACCATATACAGAAAACAACACATAACCCGCATACCCCCGTTGCACTCAGAATTATTGCGATTGACCTCATTTGAAGATTGGAACCTGAATATTATGCAGTTTATTTGAGGAAAGCGGAGACGTTTAAATAAAGCTGCGAACTGGTCCAATATCCTGTATGAAAATCTCTTCTGCCTGAACAATTCTCAGGCTTAATTGCTTTAGGTACCACTCAATAAGAAGGCCGAAGGCTTAATGATTTAGCATGTCCACAGTCCCAATGCGTCAACGCAGAGTCACTATTCAGGCTGTGACCAGCCGTTTGAGTCAAATTCTATTAAATTCTAATATATTACGACTACTCTGACCTCTACTCGGATTAAGTAAGCTTCGGAGCTTGCAAAGCAGTGGGCTGCTATTGCATGAGCAGTCGCTACTCCTCGGGTGCAAACGTTCTGACAAACGTCGGCTGACGAGGATCACACACAACTCGACATATTGTAAGATGGAATCTAATGATAGAACCAGAGGAGCGATACGGGAGCATGAAAGCAAATTTATCGTCTCTTCATAGTAGATCTAAATACTAAAAGCTCGAAGGCTTCTCAGATAGTTGGCCTTTCATTCCAAATTAACAACAGAGAGCTAATAGGGATTAAAGTTTGTGACTAATAAGTTCAAACCATTTTATATGCGCCCTCCAAACAGATTTCGCGGCGATTAAATTCCTAATGTTCAAATGTTGTCAAAGATCTCGCCGACAAGCGAAACTGAGAAAACACGGATGGACATCTCTATCAGATTAAACATGGCGAATCGCATTAGCACATCTATGTTTGGATTTCTCCGTCGAGATATCCTGATTACCGGGTGAATCGGCAAAGAAACTCAAATTTACATGGTACTGGAATTCCGACTTACTTAATGAGCTCATTTTGTTTTTGTATAAACATTGAAATCATTCAACAGAATGGAATAAAGTAGGTAAAATGAGAAAGTGTAAAGTGAAATAATTAAAACGACAGTGTTTTTTAACAAGTTAACTGCATGTGGTGAACATTTTTGAAAGAAGAAACTCACCGACTCTGAGGAATCATACTTGAATTCGATAAAAGTATAGCCAGTAGAGTACAATCCCATTAAGCAGCTGTAATCGATGTAAAATCAAGTCGTGAATTCTTGGATATGCCTAAAGTACTGCCAGATTGGTGCACAGGTTTCAAGAAACTAAAATTTCATTGTCAAAACTATTGGCATCTCCAACAGAGTAAATTCGGCAATTTTGACCGTCTATAATGGAACTCCGATAACTTCAAATGTAGAAAAAAGTGTGAAGGACCAGCTAATCTCTTTCACTTTCGTACAAATATGAGATCATGGGCTAAACGACAGCCGTGTCCATCCTCTTCGATCGCTCCATTAGCAGGTAGACGTGAGCCGTTTGAAGATGTATCAAGAGAACTGACAAGCCAATGCGGGAAAAAACCCATTCAAAGGACAGTAGGAATTGAGTAGGGTCTTGACAGGAAATGAGTGAAGAGCTAGCTGGAAACTGAAGAAAAAATACCAAAAAAAACGCCATAGCAGAAGTGTAGAAATAGAGAATCGAAATGAAACCTCAAGTTTTTGTTTGCACATAATCAAGAACCATAAAATAGAGTTACCTGGGCAGCTTTGTTTTTACTTCGATTGCTCTGATTATAAAACCTGAGAAGAGGCCTCAGAGAGGCATTGGAACAGCATTAAATGTAAGCCCATTAGAACTCCTGAAAAAAAGTAAAAACGAAGACGTGCCAAAAAAGAGATGCGACGCTCTTCTAAGTAATATTCAGCAACCCTAAACAAGAGGATCAACAAGGAAATCAAATCCACCGAAACCAAGTTACTTAGTAGAATCATAGTAAAGACTTCACTGAAGACTCGCAAATTTTATTCATTGAAAACTACTTGAAAGAGAAACGCCGGCTGTATCCCAAACCGCGAAATCAAGGTTATCCTAACCAAAAAAGTGAATAGAACGGAATAGGCACGGTCGCCTTAGTAAAAGGGCCCACGCTCAAGTACTCCGTAGGCCCATGAACATGTTGCATACTGTATCGATCGGCCATTTTAGGAGAGAGAGAGGTAAATTGGGTCAGAAATCTGCTCCAGGGCTGATTTTTTAGACTGTCGATACAACTAAATTCCTGTCAAATGTTGTGAAAAATGCACGATTCCCGCAGATACTTCCAATGGGATGTGCTATGCCCTCAGCATCCAGTCAAATTGTAGAGCATCTGAAAGACGTAGTGAAAATGCCTTGTTTGCAACTGTCAGCAAAGGTTCAAGTAGCTGATTCTTCGAAGGGGTTTCTGGAAATTGATAACTACGCATGGAACGACTTACTCTAGCTTAGAGATGTTGAATTCCGGCAACTCAGTCACTCAATTTTTGATTCCATTTTTAATTCGGATAGTTTTTGAATGTCAGTTCCAGATCATGTCTTAAAGATATCCCAGGCAAAGGAATGAAAAATTGTAGAGCATCTGAAAGACGTAGTGAAAATGCCTTGTTTGCAACTGTCAGCAAAGGTTCAAGTAGCTGATTCTTCGAAGGGGTTTCTGGAAATTGATAACTACGCATGGAACGACTTACTCTAGCTTAGAGATGTTGAATTCCGGCAACTCAGTCACTCAATTTTTGATTCCATTTTTAATTCGGATAGTTTTTGAATGTCAGTTCCAGATCATGTCTTAAAGATATCCCAGGCAAAGGAATGAAAAGCTATCGGGTCGTTGTGAGTATAGTCGCAACTGAATTGGTTGCAATTAAGTACTTATAAACCAACGCCAGCAGAAGCTAAGAAGGAAGATGAAATAGTAATCCCTAAACCATGGTTCATAGTTGGCTACTGTAGAGTACGAAAAGCTAAGAAGGAAGATGAAATAGTAATCCCTAAACCATGGTTCATAGTTGGCTACTGTAGAGTACAAAACATGACCATTGACTGATGCCCAGCGGATCGCCCTTGAAATTTCGAAGATCCTGCGCAGTTGGGTCCAAGGTTTTAGGTTTCCCTACGAGGTAATGGTAATGACATTCAATGGGCGCCTTTCCAAAGACTCATAAAACAGCAACCAAAAAAGTGAACTTTTTCTGTTGCACTGGTAATGTTTGCCATTGATTAGGCTGCCTGGAAAGGACAAAATTATTTGGGTGCGCCACACACTTGGCTTGTGCTGGGTATTGAAGAAGAGTATAATTTTGATAGTGATTTTAACGTAAACCCATGTAAACAACCACTGTTTTCTAATTTTTGATAGGTTTAGTATCGTACTAATAGATGATCATCTAAGCTATCGTAGTCAGGATTGGGTCTACTAATTGTAAGATCATGGATGTACATACGTGAATGGTCCACCCCTGAATCGACATGAGTCCTTTGCCACTGCGCAATCACCGGTTGCATCAGTCTTCTCCAAAATCCTGTCTCTTTCACACGATGACTTCTGCACCTTTTTTGAGCTTATTAGTTGTTGAAGCCAATACACAAAACGAACTGTTTTATAAAAAGCTGTACTAAGAGAATATTTATCGAAATTCACTCTTAGCAGTCATTCTACATCTATCTCAAAGTTAGGTCCAATAAAATTAGCGATTATCGCATATCAGAATG